TGGCACGAAATGTTACTGACTAGAAGGCTGATGTCATATTTTTTTCACTCCTTTGTATGTTATATATCCTTTTATTTCTAGCTACTTCTACGATTTTCTCTTTAAGACTTTTCTCTCTTGTTTTTAAGCAATTTAATTACAATGTACCTTGTAGTCTTCCTTGTTTCTTTTGTTTGGGGTTCACTGAACATATTTTATCTGTGGACTTAAAGTTTTTATCATGTTTGGGAAAAAAAATTACAAATTATTCTTTTAAAATAATATTTGTCCTCTCTTCTTTCTTCTTCTTTGGAGATGCCAGTCACACACACATAAGGCCCCTTGGTATTGTCCCTGTAGTTACTGATACTCTGTTGCTTTCTTTTTCTAGTCATTTTTCTCTGGGCTCCATTTTGGAGAGTATCTATAGCTATACCTTCAACTTTACTGATCTTTTCTTCTGTGATGTCCAGTCTGTTAGTAATCTGTTAGTCCCACCATTGGCTTTTTAAAAATTTCAGATGTTATACTTTTCATCTCTAGAAGATTTGTTTGTGTTTTTTCTGTCTTTCTATATTTTATGTCTCTCCTTAACATGATTATGCTTTCCTCGACTTTTGTACACAGATGAAATGTAGTTTTTTAGAACTTTGTTCTGGGATGGAACAAATCACTTGGAAAACGCATGATACTTTCAAGGATTCCTGTAAGCTTTGTTAGAATGGACTAGAGCAGGATTTTTTCCTAGTGTTGATCTTGTACCACTTCTGAGCCACACCCTTCTGTATTCTACCTGATGCCCATAACTTATGAAGTTTTCCACTCTGACTGGTGAGAATATGAACTGTTCCCCACTCTGTGTGACCTCCAGACATGGTTCCTTCTGCTCCCTTTGAGTGGGTATTTCACTAGTCTCAAGGTAGCTTCCTCACACACATGCACTGGTAAATATTTATCCATGGACTTGGACTTGGTGGGGGTGGGATGGGGTGAAGTCTCTGCCGTCTCCGGAGTGCCATCCATGTGCAGCAAGCTCCTCTCTGCAGTACTCTGCCTTGCAAACTGCAGCTGCCTTGGTCTCCTTGGCCTTCCAACCCTGTCTCTTCAACTCAGGGAGACCACCTGCATCTGCATTGGCTCCCCTCCCTCATTGCAGCCTGGAAACTCTCTTCATGCAGTGGGTTAAGGCAATCTGAGGAGTCACTCTTTTGTTTTTCTTCTTGCAGGGATAACTGTCTCCTGAGTTGTCCATTGTCCAATATTTGAAAACCACTGTTTCATGTATTTTTTTCATTTTTTAGTTATTTCTGCCCCGTAATTTCTCTTCTGATTTTATAATTTCTTGTTATTTTAAGGAAAACTCCTTTAAAAATAGCTTTATCTCTTTGAGAATCTTAAGTATGTTTTTCTAGTCATTTTCAGATTGACGATTTTTATTTAGTTGGATATTGATCTTCCTTTATGTAAAGTTTTTTGGGCTTTTCTTTTTTAGATGAAGATTTCATCATATGAAATTTCAATTTTTATGTTCCACTGTGTGGATGCGTCTACCTTTCGGCTCTTACCAGCCTGTCTAAAGTCTGTCCTGTTGTTTTCACTTGGTCCACAGGGCCTCCCAGTCTTTCAGTGGTGACTTAGGGCTTCTGTCCTCAGTGATATTCAAGTTCTGGATGGGCATCTTTGTAGCTTTCTCCCCTCAGATATGCTGCTTTACTCAAATAGTTGTAGCTGTTTTTTAATATGCTGTTTTATTCAAATAGTTGTAGTTGTTTTCTGTCTTCAGCACTGTCTTATGCAATGGGCTTGCCTGGAGTCCCAACAAGGTGACCATTTGGTTCCCGTCACACTGTGGGCTCTGGCTGTAAGCTAAAGCTTCTTTTCAGGGCTGGGAACTTCACAGATGATCATTTCAAGTAAGCTTTATTACCACGTATTTGTTTCATTTAGTTTTTGATCATGGCTCTGTATTTTTTAAAAACCTTTTTGTTTAAAGGAAATAATTGTTATGTGTTTGAACTAATGGGTGTGGTGGATGGGTTTAAGCCATGAATTCAAACTATGAACTCAATACAGGCCCTCATGTATTACTTTTGAGAGACTACTGGGTAATAAGATGTTAGAGGCCAGAGTAGCATGTTGAATTATATTTATAATGAAGAAATTATCTCAGCCCATCAGTACACATAAGTGAGTCACGTGTCAAATTTTGCAAATTCATAAAGTAATTTCTTTTCTCTAATTTTATGGAAAATTGCTTCCTAGACTCATCTTTGAAAAGGAAATTTATAACTAATATATCAATCCATACAGAAGTTAGGAAGCATAGTTTTGTTCTGGGATGGCTCTTATTGGAAAGCCATATTAGTTATAAAACACTGTACAGCTCTGTTATTGCATAATATTATTCAAATTGTTACTGAATTTTATGTATTGATTGACATACTCATTAATGTGACATTCTAATACTTTAATATGTGATTATCTGAGATATTCTCTATAATTTTTCTTTCTGTTTTTAAAAGCATACTGGAGATGAAATGGCCTGATAAAATATAACTGAGAGTTATTATTAATTCCAGAATATTAAATTTCCTATGATCTAGTCACCTGATTTCAGTCACTGGACTGTTCTACCAGTCTGATTCTTCCCAACATATGGCAGAAGATCAGCCAACACAATTCCGGGGAAAAAAGAAGGCCAAGTTGTAACACTCGAACGCTTCATTCATGTCTGACTTCCCTTTTTACAAAAGGGAAATCCTGTAGGACAGGATTGTTTCACACACTGAAATGCCATCGCAATTAAGGTAAGTGTATGACATAAGGTAAAGGTAAGCCTCACAGAATCAGGCTCTTACCTGCCTATTATACTGGAGGTCATCATCTGGCTCCCACTGCCAATAAGATAGCCCCAGAAGTAACATAACAGCACCTGAAACTACTTATGTACTTTTCACTCACTGGGATCTGTCTTTGATATTTATGTGTTAGTCATATGCCATGCATTTTGCAATTGGTAATAGAGCCTGGCGAATGTCTGGTTCAGGAGTGTGTTTTATCTCTCTAACAAGACCTCATGTTTCTTAGTAAGTCTTTTGTTTCCTTTCTAATTCTCCTATAGTAGCTGGTACAGCCTCCGCAGTTAGGAGATACTGAAATACCCTTTCATATTCAGAAATATGAAAGGAAAATGAAGACTTTGCTTTTCGAATAACCAGAAAGTTATAGCTGGGTGAAGTTTTCACTTTTTGTGGGTCGGGGAGGTAATGCCATTTATCAATAATCTGGCAAAATGTTCATGCCTACTACAATGGTCATAGCATTACTTAAGTAGAAATAGAACATATTGCAAACACTGTTTGAACGTATTTGCGCTTTATTCTTGGCTGTCCTTCTTATAAGCTCCATGGAGGTAAATGAAGAAAACCTTGATTTACTTTTAAAGTCACATAATTATTTAATGGCAATGCTGAATCTACTTGTTTAGAATCTTACAGGATCATAATCTATAATTAGTATAATAAATGCAGAACATAATACAATGAAACGATTTTATTTTATTTTATTTTTTTTGGTGACAGAGTTTCACTCTTGTTGCCCAGGCTGGACTGCAATGGTGCTAGCAGGGCTCACCACAACCTCCGCTTCTCGGGTTCAAGCGATTCTCCTACCTCAGCCTCCCGAGTAGCTGCGATTACAGGCGCCCGCCACCACACTTGGCTAATTTTGTATTTTTAGTTGAGACAGGGTTTCTCCATGTTGGTCAAGCTGGCGGGACCTCAGGTGATCCGCCCACCTTGGCCTCCCAAAGTGCCGGGATTACAGGTGTGAGCCACCACACCTGGCCGAAACAAATTTCTTTCTAAGCTTCTTAGATAATTTTGAATACCCTAAGATAAATAGGTTTAAGTTAGTTGATCTAACATAAGGAAGTTTAAATTGCTCTTGGTAAAAATTTTCATTTCTAAACCCTTTAGTTTATTGTGGTCTAAACTACTGAGGCCACTGAATTCAGATCTGAAGCACATTAAAATGAAATATTTTTAGAAGGTAATATCAGAGATAAATTCTACAACCTAATAGTCAAGCTTTTTATAAAGAGCATATCATGAATACGTGCACATGTATGCGCTTTAAAACTCTTCTCTAAACTATATTGAATTTTTGTGCTTAAACATGATTTATTTTTCATAAAGCACAAATTATTTGTCTTTCAACATTTTCTTACCATTCTGGAGTGTATTTCTTTGGCATACAATGGGAATAAAAATTCTGATTCCCCTTCCAAGCGCAGTCCATCTTTTGTTACACGCAAGTGGCCCATTCCTGCCTGTTAAAAAAAAAAAAGAGACAATGCATATTTTTTTATTGCTTGCTTTTTCATTCCTCTTGCTATTGACTTAAATCACACATGTATTTCCATATAATGCCTACCACCTTTTCTGTATTTCTCCTAAACACTGTATTTAAAACTTCACATCTTTTCATTCAATATTCAATACTATCAACTCTTGTATAAATACAAAGAGCTGTTTAGAAAACATATAAAATTTCAAGAGTCATTTTATAATAAACATTCAAGAGCTCATTGCTATGCAAGAAAAAGAATCTTACTATTACTGTTTTTTTAAATTTAAATTAAGTTACAATAAAATTAATTGTTTTGAGGTGTACAGGTCTATGAGTTTTAACACATATATAGATTTGTGTAATCATCAACACAATCAGAATATAGTATAGTTCCATCACCTGCCCGAAAAT